TAATTAAATATGCATGTTATATTAAGTATATTATTTTCATTTATATATTTTTTAAATACTATTTTCGTAAAATATATACTATAATTTATTAAATTAAATATATTATTTTTTTAAATTAAAAAATTTAAAATTTTTGGGAATAAAAAATGCATTTTAATAAATATTTTGTAAAATTAAAATATAAAAATATTTAATTAAAAATTATATTTTTTAAGCATATATATATTTTTAAACATATGTAAATAAATACTTAACTTAAGCAAACAGATGTTTTTAATACAAGTGATTATCGAATACGTGGTTATTACCCACCGAATAAATAGCTTTCTTGAGTTAACTAAAATTTTTTTTATTTCAAGATAATTTTTTCCTCAGTGTAATAAAATCACTTTTAATTGCATAAATCTCTGTTTATTATTATGCTAATAAAGTGATGAGAATACAAAAACTCTTCAATGAAAATTATGTAATATATTACGAGCAAAAATTATCGCATAAAAAGGACAGATAGCCTTGTCTTACTTAAGTGTCAAGGACGAGACGGCCGCAGGAAGATTAAGAGTCGCGCATGACGTTTTCCCATGGATGGAAAAAAGTTTGCGCAAAATTAATGCGTGCTCTTGGCTTGACTTTAACGAGTGCGGTGTCCTTTTTTATTCTCGGAACTCAACTGCCAGCGTAAATTAGAAATCGTAGATTCGTTAAGGTGGATTCGTCGCGTAGGCGGAAAGAATGGCAACGTCAAGAGACTCGTAAAGAAAATATATTATGACGTGCGACGAGTTGCCGAGAGTCACAGTAAATGACATTGGTGGTTTTCGTTAGATTCTCGCTAGAGGGATTTAATTCCCCAGGATTTATTAGGTCATTTAATTATTCAATGGACTTAGTTTGATCGAACGATTACAAAACACAGCTCGACTACATGAATAATTAAGAATACGGATAATTTTTCCGAATGCCAGCCTCTCTCGACTCGTCTGACCGCTCGCGTTCGACATTCTTATCGCCAAGGGTTTGACGCTTGTATAAGTAAATTACCGCAAAAGTTAATGGCAATAAACTAATGACAGCTCACGGCGAGATAGAAAGCGCCAGCTGACCAGGCTCGACGCATTCTCAGGCGCAATGTTTTTATCACGATGTAGCCAGGCGCCGCCTGGATAAGTGACTCAACGCAAAGTCCGGCGACGGCTCCGCCTCTGCGAAATGCCAATGAGCTTCTATGCATTTTGTTATCGATGTGCTATGCGGCGATTTTGCGATACAAACTTCCGATCACACGTCATACCTGCCTATTCGGGCGAAATTCCCGTAAAAATCTGAATTATGCGTCACGCTTATCAATGTATCAGTTACCCGAGTACAATTGTAACGTCATCTGATGAAATAGCTTTTACAATCGCACTCGTATCACTTATCTTTGTCATAATCGATCGAAAAAAAATGCCATCATTATACAGGTTCACTCGTGTTTAACTATTGGTCGGAATACAATATCGCGATTTGTTCCGCTCAGTGGGATATTAATGCTAATAAAGATCTGTACCGTGATAGTCTCGCGATAACGAGTAATAACATATCATTCGGAATACTCATGCAGACCAAATTACCAAGATCGCAAGTCACCGTGCGAGAATTATGCGTCTCGTTCGTTACTCGTAAATGATGCAGTAATTAAACCAGAGATCCCTGTCCCCTGCTCGTGCTTCAAGAGCAGGCCGATCGATCGCTTATCTTTGCGGCGTCGAGATTGTTAATACATTGATCGATGGAAATCGCGCAATGTAATCTGGCTCGATGGGGTTTATTTGACGGATCATGTTCATTGTATGCTCGAGGAAATAAAGGAAAGGGCGCAAACGGAGGGAAGAAGAGAAAGTCGGCGCGGGTTTCACGTGGGTGGACAGCACAATATGGTTGCGCTTTCTATTAAAAATTCACTTGCTGCTGCTACTAGCGACGATCATCGTTTATCACCACGCGACATTGATCTTCACGATTATTCGCGATAGCTTTCCGGTAGAGAAATCCCGTTTAACAATCGGAACGGACTGTCGCGATTATTGTACCATTGTTGTCGTAATACCGGTATTACAACGGTATTAGGATGATTTATCGCAGATTCGGATTATTATAATCATTTGCTTTCAAAGATCACGAGGCTTTTTAATACCGACGTTCGTTTATGTGTTGTTGTGTAAAGCTGCATCAGTTGCATCAGTTTTAGATTTATGTTTTTTATTTCACGCCAAGTTATCTGCCAGCCATCAGTTATGACATTTCGCTAATAAATTTATAATTCCTTGTCCAATTTTTTCTTTTTCTTCCTTATTTTTCCTTTTTTTATTTTTCTATTTTCTATTTTAATTTCATCTAAATAACACTGTCAATTATATGTTTATTATCTACTTTATATTTCTTAGAAGATTTACTTTAAAAATATGAAGTATTAATAAATTATAAAATATCAATATACTACTCTTTTATTTATTTCTACAGCTTTGAAAAGGTTTGCAATTTACTTGAAACCTTTACCTTTAGAAAGAAGAAAAGATGGTTAATATTTGTATTCGTCGATAGCTTGACAACGATTGACTGTAAATCTGGCTTTCTCGAATATATTAATCGGTGATGCACGATGACGACGCGCTAAAGTTCTCCGATTATCGTCGATAGCCATAGAATCGATCATGTCACTTGTGTTTCACGTTTCGTCACTCATTGTCAGTATGCGATATGCAGGTACACATACGAATGATGCGCGAATCGTGAAGGAATGCAGACTGACCGAATTCCACGTATCATACCGATATAATATCCGCGATAATGCATTCGGTGACGAAAGGAGAGTGTCACTCATGTTAGACCCTTACCCCGTTCTTATCGATTATGTCGAGGAAACACCGTGTGATAAGAAATGGCGATACGTTTCGCCAACCGGTGTGTGTCTTATCGAACAAATTCTACGTGCCATGACTCACTGGCAATGATATATCATATGGTGTGTATTACACATCTCGGCTGCGCTGTGTCGGCGCGATAATTCGAAATTATAATCCTAGTCCGCTCACGATTACGCGTCGGCTGCTTTCATCGATGTATTCGTCCGCTGGAGGCGATCGAATTGAATGGACGACTATAGTATTTCGATTATCAACGGAAGTAAGACGCTAATCATTCATGACGATAGGTACAATAATTTGAACGTGAACACATTTGATTGCTATTCGTGATATACATAAATTTCTTGATTTAGGCAGATTGTTATAAAAATAATGTGTTTTATAATTAATAATAATTTCTGATTGTATAAGCAATCTGGAACGTTTAATATAAATATTGAAATATTAGAAATGTGTGCCATCCAATTAATTTCTGGCTGTATTTAATTCGAGTGATTGCTTGTTTCATTATAGTTTTTATTATAATCCTTAAAAAAATTTTTATATAATCTCTAATTCAAGCAGTAGACAATTAACTTTATTTCAGATTTAAAAAAAAATAAAATTAATGTGACACTTTGTTCTGGATGCATTATAACTATAAACAAGGATTAAGAGACCATCGTCTCTTCCCAAATCCATTTTTTTCCGTACCTCAAATAGTAACTCGATCTCGGCATTTTGTTTGAAATTAATTCAAACAATCGTAAAAACACGCGAGTGTAAACAGATCGTCTTAGCCGTGTCATCTTGCCTGATCTTTCGAGGGATGTCGATGGGACCCAAAATATAGTTGCGCGCGCCTTCCTTCGCATCTCTTGTTTGCTATCGAAACAGCTCGGCATTTCGTTCGTTTGCTGGTTAAATGCATGCACGCGTGAAGTCCCGTCCATTACAACACGGTAAGAAGGCGTGTTTCCACCGTGTGAGAGGCGTCGCGGCTTCCAGACGGGAACCAATCGATGATTTCTCGAGAGTCATTAATTCACATAACGAATGATGCCAGGAAAGCGTCTGTATCGCCATACTGTTATGTATGGCGTCTTTCTCGTCTCCTATCAATGAGAATTTACATACGCAAATTATCAGGACTCAAACAATGAGCAGGAATTATTGTTCACATTGCTATTCTATCGTACGTTAGCCAATAATGCGGAGCTGAATGATGGATGTGCACAAGTGAATAAACGACAAGTGATAAATATGGTGAAAGAAACAATAACGTGAAAGAAAGGAAAGGGAAAGATTTTGTGCGCAAGTAACATTCGTTTTTATGAACAACATTCCTCTTTAATAGGTCAGTAACACCTTATTGCGCGACAAATTTGACGGAAACAGCGAGGTATGAGATAAGATATCGATTCGCAGCATCATTGCGATTGAGTGACGAAATGTAGACGACGCTTGCACCTCCTAGACTTTATCGGCAAATCTCGAATATTAGGTCCACAATCTCCTCTAACAATTCACGAATTTGAAATATAATTATATGTCGTTTGTACAATTAGCGATTTTCGTGAACGATTTACTAAAGAATTATTTTAGAGTTTTGATCGTGATATATAAGATTTTGAGCGTTAAAATAAACTGTTGGTCAAAAGTTTGAAAAAGGAGTAGTTTTAATATACAAGTTTATTTTAAATAATGTTTGCATATGAAAGAGGCATGATAAATCATGATAAAATAAGGTGTATCGCAAATTAAAATATTATATACTTCATATTATCATTATTTAATTAAAAAGTGACAATATAATGAACTTTACTTAATTTCGCCGAATAATAATCTTATCTATTGGAGGAAAGTGTAATCGTACTCCTCGATCTTTAAATATCGATAATATATTACGAAATCTGTGTGAATAATTCAGGAGCCGAGTCTCTGTAATAAATACACGCGAGCGATAACGTGCAACGCGATGGTCAAATAAAAGTAATCGATAAAGTAATCGATGGTTCGGACAAGGCGATGATTTGTCGATGATTATCTCGTTGCGATTAACGCGCCCATTGTAAGAGGCCATTAATATATGTACGTACGTTTATATGTCGACAGATTGGCGGCGCGGTAGCCATGTCATCGCCGGATCGGCGCGGCGGATCATCACGAGAAATCGACGTGGAGCCGGGAGAGAGTCATCGTCGTCGGCCCGATACATTTACGGCCGCCGAGTAAGAAGCCGATAGCCGAGGGATCGGTAATTCAAGGATCGATACGAGCAGATCGATCCACCAGCTCGCAACCTACGGCCTCCTTGCTGGCCTGGCCAGCTACTATGCGAATTGAAGCTCTCAGCACCCTCCTCGTCGCGGTAAGTGCTAAATTGTAAAACCAACGTTGAACAAATGCAATCTGAAATTGATACGTCTCTTGAAATCCTCTTCTTCATGTAGAGATTTATATATGAAAAATAATAATTAAATTATGATTGAAAAATTTGAAAATGAATTCGAAAAAAAAATTAGAGAAAGTACAACTAATGACTGCTTTTATAATTAATCATATAATCATTTAATTCAATTAATTTTCAAAGTCAACTGAAACTTGCTCGGTGCTGAAAGCGTTGACAGTAGCGAGGTACCTGTTAATAAAATCCTCAATCATGCGCTCGTCGAATGGTGGAGTACATAAGCTAACTATAATAATTGTGCACTCCCAGTACGATTGACGCAACAATCGATGTCCGTGGCGTCGTATTGTGCCGCGGTGAAGGAACAAACGTAGCGAAACAATAATTACGATATCCAGCATCGATGCAACGATCGTAAAGTACCGCCCGCCGCGTGTGTTATTAGCATATTATCAAGATAGCAGGGTGCTCGCGCACACAATCCCGCCAACTACGGACGATGTGTGTTTTTCTCTCTCTCCTCGGCCACCGCCTGTCACGGAGGCGCATCGATAAACTTGTAGAATTATGGCGCGGATCGTGCGCTTTCGTTCCTTTCATCTTCCTTTCGTCCGCGCCTCGTCACATTTTCCCACAGCTGACTTTCGGCATCATTCTCGTCTCTCGCTTGTTAGACTCGAGATGACAGAACCTCTAATAATAAATATTCAAAATAACTTTCCAACGTTATCGAGATTAGATCTATCCGTACAGATTTTTTTTTTAGTAAAAAATTTCTCATTTTTGACAAAAACGATTACATTTAACTTGCACAAAATCAATTCGATTAATTTGGAAACAATATTTCGTTCAAGAATCTGTTAAGTTTAGCGCGATAAAAACTGCACATGGGAAGTTTATTCATCGCGAGGATCGAGATCGCAATTAGTACCTGCGGATTAGATGGCAGTTTCGCGAAGAAAAGGCAATATCCTGATCGTCGCGCACATACCAGCGTCATCTTATGCACATAACATTATGCATCGACGACAGACGGTCGATCGGCGGCAAGTTACTACGCGCCCGTGATATTGATAAATGATAATCATCGGTGCAGTCCGTTGCGCGCGCGTTGCACCGATAATTTAATAATCGTGGATTAGCGACGCGCACGCACATGCGTGCAAATCGTGCGCGGCAACGGGGTCGGGGCCTCACGGCGTGGAATTACTATGCTAATCGGTCCCAGCATCGACGTCGCTTCGATAAATAATCCTCTTAACGCATCCTCTTAAACGGATGTGTGTCGTTGCGCGGAAAATGACGAGACGACGATTTGCGCGAACACCGGATGTCGGCTGGTGCGCGATGAAGATATCGTCGATATTTTTGGAGCGCTTCTTCGGATTTCTTGAAGAGCTATGACGTATTCCTGATTGCCTCGGATTATGCCGTGAATATTACGTCGCCGTCGGCGCGTCGTCTATGCAAAGCACAGCGAAGCTAAGGGCGTTTAAATTTATGCAAAAGTGCACTATATCTCATATAATTTATTTTCAGAACGATTAAAGATGTTAAAAGATCTATGTACTTTCGATTTTTAATTATACGCGAGATTTTAATCGAAATAATGTAATTACTATATTACTTAGCATCGTTAGTTTTCGAAACGGAAGTCCATCCGATAGCAAAGTCATCTTGAATGATTGAGATACGATTTTATAAAAACAATGTGTGCTACCGGTTGGATCTTATCGGAAATCAAATGCCGATCACAATATCGATTTCATATATCGATTTCAAAGCCATCGATCACTACTTCTGTTGAATCACTCACCTACGTGTATCGTTAGTGATCAGCGACAATAAAGCGAATTCACGCCTTGTCACGGATAATATGTGGGAAGAGCTAAAACTGACGTTTGGCAGCAGACCAACCAGAAACGAGGCGTGACTTCGCCGTCTTGGCTTTTATACAAATGGTAATGCATCATTGATTCGTGGAATGCATCAGACGCACTCGTAAACTTTCAAATTTATTAGAGACAAATGGTATGTAATGAGTTATAAATTTTATATAATTCGAACGATGATTCTCCCAATCGTTTCGTTATAAATTATAAAATCTATTGAAACAATTTTATCTTCCTTGATTATTCATAATAATATATTTATATAATAATATATTTATAATAATATATTTAATTAAAAAATAAAAAAAATATATATATTTACTCTTTTTTGCCAAATTTTTTGATTCTAGTGAAATAGTACAATAATAAAAAAAAATACAACATTTGAGTATATTACTTACCCAAGCTATTCACCAATTTGGTATGATGCTTCAGGCATCTGTGAGTGCCTCGCAATAAGATATTTGTCGGATAAACGCCTTCTTCTATTATCGCATGGATCGTAGTCGCGTAGCCTGTAATTTAAAACAATTTGGAAATAATATATTATGAATCGTAGTTAGGCACAATATAATATAAAAGAGGGTGGATCTCTACAGAACCGCGCAGGTGGTTCGGAGCTTCGTATTTTTTACGCAAATGATTTAGTGAGTCGTCGTGGGTGTATTTGCCGCCGGGACATCGTCCCCTCCAATAGTTTCTTTTTTTTTTTTCATACGTTCTAACTCGATGATACCCGACTGGTAGAGAAGAGAAAAGTATCGAAGTAGAAATCGACGTTCTTTCTCATTCGGCTTTGAACCGAATTACAAGAAACATAAATCGCGCTTCCTCGTTTTTCCCAATTAACGTCTCACTCGTCTTGACGTATCGAACAATCGCAATGTCGCGAATATCTCGCCGGAGACAAGTGTCGTCGGAATTTACTGGACATTTATTTTACGGAAATCGTCGTCGCGTTCTTCAGCTTCCTACTTGAATCGCAACTTTGTGCCAGACTCGCGCATGGAGTATGCGTAAAAAAAAAAAATTTATCACGCCTCCCCCTTCGGGTCGATTCCGCTCCGATCTGTCGGTCAGCACTCGCGGCCATCTGTGAAATGTCACGTGGCGCGTAACGAGCGGGTCGTCATTTAATTTGCCGTAGTCAACGAGAGTAGAGAAGACGAGAGTCCTGCGATGTCTCACGGAAACGCGCGCGCGCGCGCGCGTAACTGTACGCACGATTTACGCGCTGCGTGCGCATCACACACGCACGAGACGGCGAGGCGACTAACCAAATATTTATACACGTCAATCATAACACACGGCGAAGCATTCGCTGTCTAAACAGCCCGCGGGTTGTGCCCTCCCTTGCGAGCCACTTCGCCGTTGGCCGTTTATTGTGCCGGGCGGCACGCTGAAGGACCTTTCATTGCTCCTTACCTATCTCTAACAGGCACTCGATAGTTGCCGTTTGTCATGCGCTCCACGATGTTTACCTTTCCACGGTGAAAAAAAAAATCACATTGCGCTCGCTTAACTCGCGCCATGCGTCGCGTTGTCACGCGTCTATGCGCAATATATATTGTGGACTCGTCGTCCCTATCGGTTCGTCGAACGAACGAAATTAGACGCGAGGGATTTAAATCGTGATCTCGCGGATGACAAAGTGGCTCTCGATCAGTTACCGGAAAAGAATGTAAAAAGAATCAAAATGTAATATTCGTGTATTCAGATATTAAGTGATGTAACTATCGTGTTAAAACATGAAGACTCGCCCGACGAAATCGGTACAAATGATGGGCATTGGGACGGGGATCGAGTGACTCTCACGAAATGTTTAATAAATGGCGAAACGCTGTGGTGTTGAAACCACCTTTGGCACTTTGCAATAAGCCGGGAGTACCTCCGGTCTTTATAAATGCACAAAGACTATGCTAATGATACGAGCGTTGCATTGACGGTTGGGTAAACACGGGCCGTTGCTTCGAGTCCTGTCGCGAGTTTATCGTGTAAACTACCTTTAATGATTGCCAGCAAAGGCCAACTGGCCGTTTCAACGCTCTGCTATTTTAGCGGCTCGAGCTTCATTTGTCGTTGTCGCTGTACAATCACTTAAATGATCCGGAAGCACCGATAATTATCGGATGGTCGTCAACGCGTGGAGATCCTTTAAAGAATCATTAGCGATGATCTATCGCCTCTCGACTGACAGATTACTCGTCGCGATTATAATCATAAATTAACGAAGGTACTTAAATTTTTTCCGAGATACGTACTTGAAGATTTTCGCTTTTTTTTTTTAAAGAAAGGAGATAAGAACATCGTAATAAATGTTGAAGTGCTTATCGAATTTGTATGTGTGCTCATACTTCAACTTTCGTTCGAAGTATGAAGTACACTATCTACGACGTCTAATCTGTGTTATAGTCGAACATATCGTAAAATTTCGCTGGAATGCTATCCGTGGGTCGTTACAAGCGCATAAAAGCCGAAAGTGCGTTGTGTGCTAAAGTGTCTGCTCTTCTTCGAACGCACACTAATTTAAATGAATGGAGCGATAAAAGTCGCGGAATATTGCATTCTTACGTGACGAATCAATTATGTATATAGACTCGTCTTGAATGTTTTTCACAGTGAATGATTTCACAGAGGAAAATATATACTGTATTCAAGTAAATATTATTTATTTTAATATCATAAATTATTTGTATATATCATAAGTTCATCACAAGCATTAAATTTAATTAAATATATTCTGAATCTTAGTAACTGCAGTATTTTAGTCAAGAATATTAAATTAAAACAAAAATTTGGTTTGCTTACCACATAAAGTAAGTTTGATTTTTCTTTGATACAACTTTACAATATTCTTGAAGAGAAAATAAATTTTTCATTTAGTGTACATGCAATGAGATTTTCTAACACTTGTGATGAATATATTTTAAGACTATTATCAAGAATATATTCTTTTTTGAAGAAAATTATTACTTAAAAAAAGAAAAATAAACTGAGTAATCGTTTTTCTTGGCAGTAGAATAATATTTTTCTCTGCGTTCCCATTCAAAGTTCATGTAACTCTCAAGA